CCCTCCGCGGCGGCGAGCTTCGGGGCGCGGGTCTCACGGAGGAACCGGGGCGCGGGGCGCGGGGCGCGGGGCGCAGGGCCCGGGTCTTGGCAAAGGCCTCCCGAGGGGCGCAGTCACGTCCAGTCTGCGGGGCCCCTTCAGGGCAGCAACTCAGGGCACAGTGATTCTCGTCCCTTTTGCACCCGGGGACAGGCGGGGGCTTCGGGCTAGGAGCTCCCCACGCCGCGCCGGCCTGCCCAGGCCCCACCGACGTCCTGGACGGTGCGGGCCGCGCGGGCCCGAGGGCGGGAAGCGCCGCGGGCACGACCTTCCCAGGCGGAGAAACTGAGGCTCGGAGAGGTTTGACTTGAGCCAGTTGATCCTGAGCGTGGTGGCTCACCCAAGGTCCCCAGCGAGACGGCGGCGAAGATTTGAGCCCCGGCAGAGTGGCTGCAGGCCCTGGGAGCTGAACCCACCTGGCTGGAAATGACCGGCTCAAGGTCACATGGTGAGGAGAGGTCACAGTCTAGAACCGCTCTGTGACCACAGGGCAGCACCCTGTCCTCCACCCACCCCACTGCCTTCCCCACAGGAAGGAAAAGTTTAAGAGTTATCAAAATAGGAACCAGGCACGGTGGCCAGCACCTATATAGTCCCTGCTAGTGGGGAAGCTGAGGCAGGAGGATCCCTTGAATACAGAAGTTCAAGGCCAACCTGGGCAGCACAGTGGGATGCCCATGGAGGTGGAGGCAGGGAGAAAATAGCGGCAAACTTTACATAAAGTGAACTGCATAGAGCTTAAGTGTGCATTTGGATGTGTCTTGACACACACGCACACCCATCCCATGCCCCATTTCTGTCACTCCGTGTTCTTTGAGCTCTTGCACCGCCCACCAGTGGCCCTGACCCCTCACCCCAGCTCGCCTTTGCCTGTTCTCGCCTCCTGTGAGCACCTTGTCCCACACACACCTTCCTGGCTTCTTCCGCCCTGACACCGGCACCGATTTGCTGGATAAAGTGAGGGGGGAGCTGGAGCAGCTGACAGGGTGTCTTGGGGTACCGGAGACGCAGCTTTGAACCCCAATCCTGGGAGAGGCTGGGGGTTGGGGACTCAGCCAAGATGGCGCGGAGCCCAGACTGCAGAGCTGAGTGGATGAGGCTCCAGGCTCCCCTCTTTACTATTTGGGGGGGCCCTGGGGGAGGTGGGCACCCCGGGGCCAAGGAGCTGGGAAACCCCAGCAGCACTGATGGCTCAGTGTGCAGAGCAGGACCCGCCCCCCTGCCATTTCACCCAAGGAACATTTGCCTGGGGGAGGCGCTTGGCCGCCCCCGGCCACATGCTCAGGGCTGGCACCGAAGCACCAGGCAGCCCTCTCAAGCCCCGCGGGTACAGGCAGCACCACTCCAGCCCCTGCTCGCAGCCCCAGGCCGGGCTGCCGGGGCCTGTGCCCTTGCTGAGTCTTTTGCCTGTGCTTGGTAGACCCTGTGCCTTCACCTCCCACCGGGAGATTCTCAGTGGGTAAAGGTAAAATGTGCTGCCATTCGGGCCCACGCGGGCTGGCAGCGGGGCAATCATCCTGATGAATCACGCTGACACTGCGGGTGCCTGGCCGCTGCTGGGTGTCGCTAATGACTTAGCTTACCCCCGTGCAGGGCTGCCCCCTCGCCTCCCACTCAGCAGGAAGCCAGGAGCAGCCCTGCCAGGGGCGGGGCGGCGGGGGCAGCTCCAGGGGCCCGCTGGGCTGCAAAGATATCCCGGTCCTAGCCGCCTGGGAGCCACACCATCCTGCCCACTCTCGAATGTTGTTACGGAATTGTGGGGGGAGCACAGAAGAAGCAGAGCTCTGTGTGATAAACACCCCGTGCCAGATCCCCAGCCTCAGCACCATTCACGTTTTCTCAGACTTGCTCTAAATCCATTATTTCCTCACAAAGGGAAGAACATGGCCTGTAGGAGGCTCCTCCTGCCTCCCAGCTAAGTCCCTGCTCCCCGCCAGGGCCCCCTTGTGCCCCCTTCCGACCCCAGGGCCAGGATGGAGAATCCAGCCAGGGAGCACTGTCTTGGGCCCTCACAAAGCAGAGACTTGAGCCAGCCAGAGAGATCCCCGAAATCTCAGACAGAGCAGGGAAGGCTGACTGTCCCAGAGGAGCTGGGGTACCCACCCTACAAAAGTACGTGGAAGCCGGGCATGGTGGTGCATGACTGTAACCCCAGCACTCGGGAGGCTGAGGCAGGAGATCGTCGCGAGTTCGAGACCAGCCTGGGCTACAAAGTGCGCTCAAGCCCAGCCTGAAATGCATAGCGAGACCCTATCTCAAAAAGACAAAAAAAAAAAAGTACATGGAGGTGGGGACTTGCCCAGGGGGTCCACAATTGCCCGCGGAATCAGCCCTCATCTGGCAAAGGGGAAAGGGATGGCAACCTTCACTCCACAGCCCACTCCCCTCACCTGCACCAGCCAGAACTCCTGTCCCTGCACTGGTATTCATTCAACAAACCTTAAACACCTACTCTAGGCTGAGGCATTGGGAACCTCAATGCCTGTGAACACGACAAAGTCCCCACCTTTGTGGGCTGGAATCCCTGTGGGTGGAAATCACCACACAGCAGCTGCTGGCCGGGCCGTAGAGGGGAAAGAGAGGAGGACTAGGGAGGAGCTGCCTCCAGAAACCGAGGATGGGGCTAGGTGAAGATGTGGGAGGTGGGGCTGGGGTTTAGCGCAGAGGCACAGCGCCTGCCTGGCAAGCGTTAGTTTGTGAGTTCGATTCCCGGTACCAGAAAAAAAAAAAAATGAGGGAGGCTGAGACAGGCTGGTGTCTGGGGTATGCCTACCTGGCAGAGGTGCTAGCAGTGGGCAAGCTGGGCCTGGGCCTCCCAGAGCAGCAAGAAGCCCACGGAGCCCAGGGAGCACAACGGATGAGGCCAAGAGGGACATGAGGGAAGGTGGACTGTGGAGGGCCTGCGTGCCCACAGGGTGGAGAGTGTGCAGCCCGAGCCCGGTGCCATGAGAAGGTGTGGTGTTGGGGTCTGTGCCCCTCTCCTCCCGAGCACCTGCTGAAAGTCCTACCTGCTCCTCACCTCGCAGGGCCACAGCCCGAGACCCCGCCTGTCCCCACTGAGGGCGTGGAGGAGCAGCTTGGTCGAGGTCACGATTCTGTCCCAGCCCAGCCAGCACGGTCAGGCTTGCCGTGCCCGACCTCTCGGCAGGAGGATTGAGGGAGACGTCCAGGGACCACAGTCCCGCCCATCCTGACCGCAGCAGAGTGCCCTCCGTGGAGGTTGTGTGTACGCGTGTGTGCGTGTGTGCGTGTGCGTATGTGTGCACGTGCTCATGCTGCTGGGATGGACCCGCAAGCGCTCACCACTGAGCCACACGGCCACCTCTATTTGGAGACGATGTTTCCAGAAAGGGTGGAGTGGTTAAGAGCCACACCACCTCCTACCCCTGGACCCAGGGCTCAGTGTGGCTTCCTACCTGGGGAGCAACCTTAGACCCCCTTAAATAGGTTCAAGACACCAGAGCCAAAATGCTCACACCCAGGGCCACCTGGGGCCGGCCGTCTGGGCTCAGGGTCCACTTGGCAGCAGGTCCCAGGTGGCAGACGGCAGCCACCACTCTCCACCCCTAGAAATAGGAGCCAGGACGCTGCCTGGGATCGCGTTCCCCTGGAACCATAGCGCCAGGGTCACCTGTCTGCTTCGTGAAAGCTGAGTCCTTCTGGCCGCCTGGGGACACCTGAGCTGGGACACAGAGGCCAGGGAGAGTGAGGAGGGGCGGTGGCTGCTTGCGCCCACGCCTCCGTGCTGTGGCAGGAGCCTGACTGTCCCCGAGGACTCTGGAGAGCACGGTGGTGCAGCACGGCTCCCACCCGCTGAGATCCTCTGCTCCAGTGCAGCGAGCACAGCACCTGGTCCCAGCACAACCACCCAGGACTCACCCACCTGGTCCCCTCCCTGTGCCAGGGCACCCCCACCCCAGGGTGACAGCTTCGTCCTCCATGGCTTCTACTCTGCAAAACCACTTTCCCAAGCAGGAGGTAGGGCCTGGGGGGCCCTGGGCCAGTGATGGGGCAGAAGGGAGACCGCGCCACCTGGGTGCCCCCTCAGTGTGGTCCTTCACGCTGCAGGAACAATGTACACAGAGGAACCCACCCCTGAGCCACAGGGCCCACATTACACTGAGAAAAAAAGGAAATGCTCCGGGTTGTTATGGTTGATATAATGTGTCAACTTGAGGAGTCTAGAAGCTTAACTAAGTGACTCAGCAGTTCTACCTCCTGGGGTGTAGAGGACAGGCCCTTACCCTCTGGGATGTTGTTCATTGTGTCAACTTGAGAAGTTTAGAAGTTCAACTAAGTGAACCAGCCCCAGGGCCAGGCTCCTCACTTTGTAAATATCCTAAGCCTGTGCAAGAGGAGGGCACGGAGATGGTGTGGGCGTGGGTGGACAGCCAGGACATACAATTTAAGGGAGGAAAAGAGGCTGCTCCTCCCCTGCCCCCTTGTGCTCTTGCTTTTGCTGTCTTCTCTGCCTTGAACTGTTGCCCCTGTGTCCTGCCACCCTGCCTTGGAGCCAGCTGATTATGGACTGAAACCTCCACAAACTATGAGCTACATAAACCTTTCCTTCCTTAATTTGGGGTGTCAGGTATTTTATCTCAGCAACAAGAGAAAAGTAACCAAGACAGAAGTGTTCAGCTGGTTAAATTCCAGGGCTGTTAGTTAGTCTCAACTGCTTGACTTAGTTCATCCCAGGACCTTTGCACATGCCCCCCCTTCGCTTGATGACATGATTCATCCTTAGGATCTCCACTGAGATCTTCCCCACTCCAGGAACCCTTCCAGAATCTTCAGAGCACATTGAGCCCACAGTGTGGCTCCTTGAGTGCCCACATATCTCCTTCAAAGGACTGAGTCCAACTAATAAATAATTAACTGAGTCATTTAGGGTGTCAGCTCCAAGTGTAGGAACCTCTCTCCCACACGTCCCCTGGAGTCACCTGGCCACTTGGGCTGTCCCCATCTCTGTTCCTCAGTCTTCACCTAGGAAGAATAAAGCTGGGGGGCGGGGGGGGGGCAAACTCCATATTTATGATTAAGAACAACCCAATGCAGTGTTTTTAAAAATTCAGAGTCAATGCTAAAAAAATCATGATGAACAAAATACTAAAATTTGAAATAAAGACCAAATCCGTGCCAGTGCTATGCTGAGCCATTACTGGAGTGGGCAGCACAAGGAGAAGGCTATAAACTCATCCTGTCTTTGTTTAGAATGTGGATGTTTTGTTCATCATAGAATTGTGGGTCAGCCTGCAGCTCAGGGAGACAGCCCTCGCCCTGAAGGGACCAGACCCTGGGTTCAGTCTCAGGACGGGGGAGAAAAGGCCGTGTGGACCTACTGTCTCTATTCCGGGGATTGGGGCTTTTCTTTAAATGCTGTGCCTGGGGTGAGCGCCCGCTCCCTTTGCACAGCTGTCCTGTCCTGCAGGGATTATCACTAGGCGGGCATCGAGGGAGCGGCGTTATATCTGCAGGTTTTAACTGTGGGTCCAAGTGGCCAATTTCCTTATATCCATTCTGCCCCATTCAGATGCTAAGCTGCTTTTTCTGTTTGCTGCTCTCCCAGGGAAAAGGAGAACAAAGAATCAAATCCTTGGCTGTAAGCTGCAAAAGAGGCTTTGAAACTCAGAGCTGAGACTGTACCCTCACAGGAGCAGGGCATTGAGAGAGAAATCTTTTTTGTAGGTCCGAAAGCCTGGCTTTGAACTTGAAGAGCAGACAGTTGCTGCCGTGAGCCCCGGACTGGGGAGGTGTGTGTCATCATACAAGAGAGAGCCCACCCAGGAGGAGACTAAAGGCTCAGCCTGCTGGGCCACCGTGAAGAGACAGAGCCACACCTGACACGACGCTCGGAAAGGAACCCAGAGAAGCCTGGGCTCTTAGGGGATGGGGCACCGGGGGCCAACCTGACTCCCTGGCAGACAGGGCTTGGGAAGGGAAGTGGAAGGGAACTGGCCCAGCTCCAGGCAGGTGTGAGTGGAGCAGGCTGCTAGGCCTGAGGGGTTGCAGGGTCCAGGGAATGCAGCTGCTGGCTGACCGCAGGACCTGTCAGCAGAGATCCAGAGGCCAAAGTCGCTGTAGCAGGGGCAGGGAGCACAGTGTGGACACCCCAAGCTCACAGAGATTCCCCAGGAACAGCTCTGGAGCATGCAAGCCTCCAGGGAGAAGGAAGGAAGTGGCCTTTCTGGACCTAGTCTTAATTCAAAGGCGACTCAGTTGGCCTGGAGTCCAGTCACTGGCAAGCCAGGTGTCTTACTCACTTTCTGCATTGCTGAGACAAAAATAGTGGACACCTGCAACTTAGAGGGTTTATTTTGGCCCATGGTCTGCAGGGGTTCAGTCCACAATGGCTGACTCCAAGTCAGGGCAGCATGGTGGGAGGGTCAGGCAGAGGAAGGCTGCTCAAATCATGGTGACCTAGAAGAAAGAAGAAAGGAGCTGGGAGGAAAACAGACTCTTCAGGTCACTACCCCAGTGACCCCCTCTTCCAGCCACACCCTGCCTGCCACAGCGGGTCAGCGGTGGCACACCCTTGGTCCAGTTATCTTTGAAAAGGCTCATCTGTGAGCTCACGAGGCTCATGAGGGACATCGAGATCTAAACTATGACATTTCACTTGACTCCCAAGACTTGTGTGTATCTTCTTTTGTGAACTTCATTTAGTTCATCTTGAAGAATCTCCAGAGTCTTCAAGTCCAAGTCCAAAGTCTTCTCTGAGACTCAAAGCAAACCCTTAGCTGTGAGCCCTTGTAAAAATCAAAAACGTTAAACACCTTCAACACACAATGACAAAGGGTAAACGCTCCCATTTCAAAAGGGAGGAGCAGGAGGGTAGAAAGGAACGGGGCCAAAACAAGACCAAAACCCAGTGGGGCAAACATTGGCTCTTGCAGCTCCATGTCCAGCACCCAGGGCAAAGATATGAACTCCAAAGGGCTTGGGCAGCCCCTCCCTGACAGCATCGCAGGTTGCAGCTATCATGGCCTCTCTCTTGGGCTGGCTCTGCTCACTGCCTGCAATGCAGCTTTCCTCAGTGGGCAATCCACATTTTTGGCTTCTCCAACTTCCTGGCACCTCTGTTGTACTTCTGGCTTCAATCTCACAGCTTCACACACTGCCTGGCCTCCCAGGCCTTCTTCTGAAATCTGGGTGGAAGCTCTTCTGACCCCACAACTCTTGCATTCTGAATGTCTGTAAAACAAGTACTATGTATATGACCCTGCGATCTGTAGCCAGCTCAAGCAATAGCTGGGCCCCCTTGAATGATGGCTGTGGGAGACTCTGAATGCCTGGATGGCTGAGCCCTGTGAAACAAATTCCTATAAATCAATTCCCTAGCTGGCCCTTTTCAAGGAGGGTGGCCTGAGGCTTTCTTTTGAAAGGCAAGTCTTTCACCTTGGAATTCTTGAGGCTGTGAGGAGAGGGGTCTTGGTGATTCTTGTGACACTGGCATCTTATTCTTTTTTTAAATATATGTAACCATCTTTATTTCAACTCATGGACACATTAGTTTGATCTCAGAATTGTCAGGTACATTCATATTTACAACAGGAAACCCAAACATGATCTCTCCAAGGACACACATGTAATGTTATGCATTTATAATTCATTCATTCAAAATTCTACCTGGTTTGAAAATCCCACTGTCTCCTTGAGAAAGGTAACAACAAAAAGCAAGACAAACTACCTCAATCAATGGCAACTTTCAGCCTCATAGGCCTCTGAACAGATCTCTAGTAAATCTTTGTTTTCCTTACATTCTTTTTTTTAAATCTCTATTCCCTCCTGTGTCTCCTTTCATTTGAACACTTTCTCACTACCTCCCAATTATCTATAAAATGCCCATTTAGAACACACTTGGAGGCTGAGGCAGGAAGGTATTGAGAGTTTAAGGCCAGCCTGAACTGCATAAGGAGACCCTGTCTAAACAAAACAACAAAACACACCAAAAACCTCACAAGTATATAGTAAGCCCCTGTATAAAAAAGAGATAAAGGCAAGCAAACAGTACTATTGGAAAACAAACCCCAAGATAACCACTGTCACTTTACCAGGTCTCCCTAATTCAAGGAACCCAAATAAAAGCAGGTCGTCTGCCACAAGTCTAGTATGGTTACTCTTTCTTCCACCTAAAAAAAGGTATCTGGAACCTTCAAATAATTCAAGGAAGAGACCAGAGCTTGCTGGCTCTGTTGCTGCTGCCGCCTGAAAGCCATCTTACTGTCCTGATGCAAAGTACTTGGCTTCTTTTTAATACTAATCTTTTAGCAACCAAGCTCTCCTCAGCCAAGATTTTACAGGTTCTAACTTTACAGGAGCTTCCTCTCTGGTGAAACTCTAAACTTTTTAAATGGGCTTTTTGTTCCTTGTTATGGTTTGTGTCTGGATGTCCCCCAAAGCCTCATGCAGTCATGGGGCAGGCTTCTAGAGTTTATGATTGATTCATGGTCCAGTGTTGGTATTTTGGTGTGAGTGCTACACCTGCCTTGGGGCGGGTAGTTTGCATACAATGTACAGAAGGGAAAGAGCCTTGCTCTCTGCTGCTCCTCCCTTTTTGCTCTTATTGCTTTTGCTGTCTTCCGCCACCACGAACCGCTGCCCTTCTGCCATGCACCCTGCCTTGGAGCCAGGTGACTATAGACTGAAGTCTCCACAAAACATGAGTTGAATAAACCCTTCCTTCCCTAATTTTGGGTTTCGGGTATTTTGTCCCAGCAATGAGAAAAGTAACCAAGACACTCTTTTTTCTTAGTGTAAATCTAACTAAATGTAGTAATTGTGCTACAGCCTGAACATTGGGCTGCCTTGAAATTTTCCACTGCCCTTAATTTCATTCTCCCACAAAGTGTCAGGACATGAGCAAAATGAACACAAATTTTCGCCAAAACATAACACACATGGCCTGAAGTCCAACTCCAATACAGTCCTTGTTTCCAACTGAGATTAGTCTTTATGACTGCCTTTCTGTTGGCTTTCTGGTTTTCTGACCTCCAACCAGAATCAACCTCAGCTCACAGCATTGGAGGGCTAATTCTCTAGTTAGCATCTCCAAACTTGCAAACTCCTCCCATAAATCAGTTCCAAAGGCTTCTAAACCACATGGCCAGGTAATTACAGCCACAAGCCCATCTCTGGTACCAAAATCTGTCTTGGTGATTTCTCATTGCTGGGACGTAGTAGCCCACACCCATAGTTTGGAGGAGGAGAGGTTTACCTCGGATGTTCCAGAGGTTTCCGTCTGTGTTCCGCAGGCTGAAGCACGAGTACGCTGATGGAAGGTACAGGTGGAGGGGAGCTGCTCTAAGCACAGTGGCCAGGAAGCAGGGTGGGAGGGGGGGGCCTGGGGGGCTCCAGGTCACACTCCCAGCAGCCTGGCTCTTCCAGCCAGGGTCCACCTCTAACAGCAAGTCAGCTGCAAGACCCCATGGTGGTCCAGTCCTTTTCAAAAGCCTCGCCTGTGAGCACAGGAGGCCTTAGTGGGGCACTAAGGAAGTTCCTGGGGCCTGAGTGTGTCCTGTGGTACCCACACCTGCCTCCTTAGGAAGGGCATCTTCCCCATGGCTTCCAGAAGCCTCCAAGCCAGGCCCTTGCCCGGTGTGTCCTCCACAGAGCCCACAGAAGAGTGCACAGATGTCCCTCCCCTTCTCAGGGACATGCCCGCATGACCAGGCTACAGGAGAGCCACCTGCTTACAAAGCGGCCCCGCCCCTGCTGTGGGGCTGGAAAGGCCAGCACTCACTCTCCCAGCTTCCCCGCCGGCTGGCTGCAGCCTGCAGCCTGGAGTCACCGATGCTCCACACTGGATTCCAAACTAGAAGTGAGTGGTGCCGTGCGGGCAAGGGGGGAGAAGCGGGGTGCAGCATCACGGCCCAGGTCCTTCCCATAAACATCTCCTCTCCTGGAGTCAGCCAAAGCCAGTTCCTGTCACCTGCAAGGTGCTCTGGCACCCAGACTGCAATACTCAGGGAGTCACTGTGCACTCGGCCCCACCCAAGCTGTGAAGCCCCCATGGGCGCCTCTTGGGCAGGTGCGCCTGTGTCCTCCCTCTCAGCACCAGCACTGCTGGGCATGTGCGGCAGCATCGGGCAAGACTGTCTTTCACACGGGCGACACCCCATTTTGGCCAGGGGCTCACAGCCTGCCCAGCCACACCCCGTCTAGGTCTTCCCTGGGGCTCCCGAACACACACTCACACTGGCTCACACTCACGCTCCCGGGCCCACAACGCCTCCTTAGGCAACAGCACACAAGGCCCCTGTTACCCTCCTGCGAATGCAGTTCCAGGCCCTCCGTGAGCGAGAAGGTGGGGAGGCCCAGCGCCCCGGGAGGGGCTGCCTCTCCCGCCACCTCTGCAGGCAATGGGGGTCCCTGCAACCCCAGCAGAGTCAGGCCTGGCTGTGGGGGTGCCGGGTCCAACTCCGTCCTGGCTGTTTGCTCGTGCAGGGCACAGTGCCCGTGCCTTTCCAGATGGCCAGCGGACCCAGAGGAGCGACTCTGTCATGTTCCCGTCTGTCTGCACTGGGCCTGCCATCCTCACACGCAGCCCTCTCGCCACCCGCAGCCATTCCAAGGACAGACATGGTGAACACTGCCTCCCGTGCCCAGGGGAGCCACGTGTCTAGCTGGGCAGCTGCCAAGCCAGGAGCTTGATGCTTCCCGGCAAGGGCTCAAGTCTGGGGGACAAGGAGACGGGGCCACCACAGATGAAGCCACACGGCCAGCACCTTCCCTGCCCCAAGGGACTCATCGCCAAGGCTGCGCGGCCACCTGGGACACTTGCGCTCTGCCCTGCGCACAGCCAGCCCCTCCCCCGGGAGCCACAGGCAGTGTGGAGGCCTGGGCACACAGAGGCCACCGCAGACTCTGCCTGGGCCTTGGGCAGCGGCCTCCAGGCTGCCTTTCGGAGGCCGCCACGGGGAAGCAGGGCAAAGGCGACCTGTGCCGAGGGCATGGGCACAGCCTGGAGGGCCCAGCTGGCCACCAGCACCCAGGAGCAGGAGCTGTGGGGCCCTTGGGCGGCGTCACTCAGGCGCCCTTCCCCACTCATCATGCGTCGCCATGTGCTCTGAAAGTGTGCGTGGGGCGGGCCCTGTGCTCAGCACCGTGGAATTGGCATGTCCCTGCCCCCGCCCCTGCCCTGACCTTGCCACCCCCAGCGCCCGGCACCCCGGACCCCACCCCTCCCCACCCCCTGGAATCCTGCAGGGTGCAGGGGTCTCCAAGCGAGTCCTTTGGACGTCACCAGCAGCCCCGCCATGTCCTTGCTGGCTGCATTCCACGCTGTCCCCAGTCCCTCCTGGGCCCTTCCCGCCTCCCCACACCCCGGGCCACCCCTGACATGCAGCCCCGTGGGCAGGGATGGGAAGCCTGCGTGCTGGGGCACAGGAGCCATGGTGATGGAAACTGCAGGGGGGCCATAATGAGAGAGGGTGCGATCAGGCCTGAAATCCAAGCCGCTCGGGGCCAGATGGGGAGGCAGCGGCAGGGTCCGGGCCGGGGTGGGGTGTACACATGTGCATGTGTATGCATGGTCATGCGTGTGTATGTGTGTCCATATGTCTGTATGTACATTGGGTTTCCTTGTCCGTGTCCTCGCCTGTCAGTGTGTGTGCATGTGCCCATAAATGCAGGTGTCACAGATGTACATGTGACCCAGGGGCTCACAGCAGGTGTGAGATAAATGCAGGTGTCATAAATGCAGGTGTCACAGATGTGCACACGACCCTCTGTGTCCCGACCCCACATTGAGCCATGCAGCTGTGTCCCCGGTCTCTGTGTGCTGTCCATGGGCATCCAGGTGTTTTGAGTGCTCGGGGCTCTGGGTCAGTCACGCACCTCTGCCTGTGCCTCTCTGTCCATGAGCAGCTGGGCCTGGAACTCTGCGACTCTCTTGCCCCCACCCAGGCCAGGCCTCTGAGCAGGTTTCGTCCTCAACCCCCTCCTCCATCACCTGTGCCAGCTGGTGCTGCCCACGGCCTGCAAGGAGCCAGCTGCTGGGACATCCTCAGGCCTGGGCCCAGACTCCAAGGCTGGCAGAGCTGTTCCACCATGCTGGGCTGGTGCACACAGGGGTGGCACAGCGGCTGGACCTGCAGCCTGTCCCCCACATACCAGGCTGGGCCAAGGGCACCTGCTACCCCTCACCACCCTATGGAGCCAGGTTCCTCATGTGTACAAGGGATGGTTGTTCCACTGGGCACTGCACAAATGCAACTGGCACAGTGGCAAAGGTGTCAAGTGTGCCCTGGAAGTGCAGGGACAGGCTGCAGCCCATGAAGGAGGCAGGCAGACGTTGAGTCCTTAGCGCCTGTCCAAGTGGACACCCTGGGGCACCGTGTTCCCATTCTCCCAGAGGGGCCGCCCAGCCTCTGCCCTGCCTCCCCGCCCCTGCCAGGGTCTGGCTGTCCAGCCTCACAGCCTCTGTGGGGCAGGGTCAGCCCTGCTGTCCTCATCCCCCAGCAGGACCCAGAAGGGCCTGGCAGTCCTGCGCAACGCCACAGCACACTGAGCCAGGGAGCGAGGCCAGGCGGAAGGGTGGGAGACCCTCTTTCCTCTGCCTCCCTGGGTCCTGCCATCCCCCTGCTGCCTGGCCAGCACAACAGCCTGAGAACGAGGGGACTGTCCCCAGAGACACCATGGCTCAAGCTTCCTGCAGGCCCTGGACTCCACATCTGGCCCAGCCCATGCCCCTGACCCCACAGGATGCCCCAAAACCGCCCTTGACCCTGCAAGCGTCTGGGGACATGCGCTGCACTCTGCCCATGCTCTTTATTCCCTGGCCGCCATAGCCGGGCCGCTCGGTCCTGAGGGGCTGGTGTCCTGCGGGGAGGGAGGGCCGGCGTAAGGCTGGAGCTCTGGGCCATGCTGTCCGGGATGCCCCAGACCGCCCCCGTGGGTCCCAGGTCCCAGGCTGGGGGCAGCACTGAGTGCCGTGACTGCCCTGCCCAGGGCCTCCCTCACCTGGGCCCAGCCTCGGCTAGACACCGGCTAGCGGCAGTTCCAGGATGGAGCCTGGAAGGAGCTGGTGGGGGTCGGGGTTCTGCAGAGAGAGGGAGCAGTGGGGTGCAGCACCCCGACTCAGGCCCTGTCCCCCATCCCCATCTTTGGGCTTGACCCCCACTGCCCTGCCCCCCAGGGGCCACTGAGGGGACAACAGCAAGAGGGGACTCACAGGACGGAGTGGACCAAGGGGAGCAGGTGCCGAGAGGAGCGACCTGCACTACCTTGCCCTGTGGGGGTGCGGGCACCACGGGCTCTCTGGGGCGCTGTGGCTGGGCTCAAAGTGGGTGGGGCCCTGGTTGAGGACGTAGCCGCTGGGCTTCAAGGGCTGGACGCCGCCTCGGGTCCAGCCTTCCCGGTCCAGCCCCTTGGGGATATTCTCGAAGAACCTAGGACAAAGGGATCACAGACCTCGGGTGCCCCCACCTTGGGGGACCCACAGCCCACTCCCTGTCCTGGCCACCCCTGCACCCCGACACTGAGGTGGCACCCAGAGGTAAGGGAGGGTTTTGGCGACGTCCCCCATGGCCATGTCCTCCCCTCAGCCTCTCCCCTGAGCTCGCTGCCCTGGCCAGGAGAGGACATGCAGACTCGGGGCCCACAGTGGCTCACAGAGAGGAGTGCAGACAGACGCTGGAGGGGAGCAGAGGTTACCACCTCAGGACAAGGACGCCCCGACACGGGTCAGGACAGGTGAGGGGCAGCGGGGCCGCTGCTTGCCCCTAGTCACTGTCTTCAGTTCCAGCTCCGCAGCAGGACTCGGGGTGGCCCGGCATCCACCCAGCCCTGCTGGGTGGGCAACGTGAGCCCAGCTCCTCCCAGCCCAGGGCACTAGGGCTCTGCTGGCGCTCTGCCAGGACTGAGTCAGTCATGCATCAGGCCACTGGGGTGGCCAGTGGGGCAGGGTGGGCAGGGCTGGGGAGTGTGGGATGTGTGGGTACCGCTGACAGGTGGTGCAGGGGAAACCTGGGGACTTCTCGGGACATCACTGCCTTTGCATCCTCCTTGATCCTGCCCACCAGCCCTCCCAGGAGCGGCCCTGGCTCTGGGGCTGCCTCCTCTGGAAGGCCTCCATGACGATCACTCAGGGCAGGCCCAGCACAGAGCTTCCTGCCAAGGGAGCCTCTCACCCACCTGCTGTACCCCGTGGTGGCGTCTTAGCAGCTGCGGTTTGCTAGAGACACCCCTGCATCTCTCCTGTCCTGCCAGTGTCAATGGGGACCCACAGAGCCCTCCTCCCAGGCTGGGTATCTCTGGGCTTAGCCCTGTCTTCCAGAGCCTGCACCCCCGTGCCTGCAACTCAAGGAGCCCCTGGCCCGAGGCCCGAGAACGAGGGACCTCACCCCTGGCTGTAGGTAGTCAGGTACCGACTGTCCCTGTCGGCGTCACGGGGGCTGCAGACATAGCTGGGGTTGTTAAGGCTGAAGCCTGTGGGCTCCTGTAACAGGGAGCAGGGGACGTCAAGCAGCGGCGGGGACAAGGGACATCAGGCAGTGGGGGGGGTGGGCCCAGCATGGGGGCTCACCTTGGTCCCTACATCCTGGCGGCCCAGCAGGGCCACGTTGGTCTGCTGCATTGGCCAGGGCGGCTTGAAGTGCCTGTGGGTTGTGCTGCTGTGCAGAGGGCCCAGAGAGGACACCTGTGGGGGACCAGGCCCAGCAAGGCCGCAGGGACAGAGGGCAGGTCCACTGGTTCAGGGCACAAGCCCTGCCCTGCCTCCACCCAGGAATCCCAGTTCTGCCTGCAAGCCCCTCCCGGGGCCCCTGCCACTCACCCTGGGGTTTAGTGCCCTCTCATTCACTCGGCTGTAGCCAGTCTCCCGCTCGGAGCCTTGGGCCAGCACCGGCAGGAACTCACTTCCCTGGGGATGCAAGATAGCAGTGGCCCCGGGGCACAGCACAGGTCGCCACCCCAGGCCCTGCGCCCGGGTTCCCCAGTGCAGCAGCCCCTACCTGTGGGTTAGTCACAGGGAGGAAGTCCGCCTTGGTGACACTGCAGCCTGGGAGGAGGACCTGGGAAGGAGCAGGGAGGGGCATCAGGCTGGCCATGTGTGGTGCTGCCCACTCCGCCCCCAGCTCAGCAAGGATGCTCTTAAAGCCCATCATCCCAGCACTGTGGGAGGCTGAGGCAGGAGGGTCACAAGTTCAAGCCCAGCCTGGGCAACTTAGTGATGACTTACAGAGACCCTGTCTCAAAATAAAAAGTAGGAAAAGGGCTGGGGGTGCAGGTCCATGCAAAGGTCCTGGGTTCAATCCCTAGTTCTGCAAAAACCAAAAAAGCCAGATAGACCGCACTGAGGTAAGTGGGGGGAGGAAGCACTGGGGAGAAGGCAGGAGTGGAAAAGGCAGGGCCCCAGCGGAGTCCTCAGGACCTAGCAGTGCCCGGCCTTGCACAGCCTCCTCGTCCCCAAGACGGGGTTACTAGGCTGCAGTAGCAACTCCTCCAACCCTGTCTGAGCTGAGCTCTGCCACTGGTGGGGTCAAGCTCCTGGGGACCCAAGAGCCTGGGCTTCAATCAGCCCAAGACCACAGTGGGGCCTGGACTCACGGGGTCCCCTGGCAGGGCCTGGCAGGGCGGCTGGAAGTCCAGGGGGCCCGTGGCTGAGCCCTCGGTGAAGCCCGTCCTCTCCTTGGCGCCAATAGACCTCTTCTGCAGCAGATCTGGAGACAGGATCCCGGTCATCTGTGTGAGACTGGCACCTCCCTGCAGTCTATCAGGGCACCCAGGTGACTGCCCACGCCCCATGCCTACCCTGCCGGGCCAACGGCTCCCCAAGATACTTGGAGTTGTACTCTGATGTCATGAAGCGCGGGCCCTGGAGCACAGTGAGCAGGGGGACCCATGACAGGGAGCCGCAAACCACCTGGGCTTGGGATGGGAGCCCAGCACCCGAAGACAGGGACGGCGTGGTGTGGGGAAGGAGGAGGGCAGGGCTCCCACAGGCCCTGTGAGGCGGACGGGGACCCCCGCACTCCTGGCCCGGCCTCGTGGCTCTGGGACGGCGTGGTGCAGGGAAGGAGGAGGGCAGGGCTCCCACAGGCCCTGTGAGGTGGACAGGGACCCCGCACTCCCGGCCCGGCCTCGTGGCTCTGGGACGGCGTGGTGCGGGGAAGGAGGAGGGCAGGGCTCCCACAGGCCCTGTGAGGTGGACAGGGACCCCGCACTCCCGGCCCGGCCTCGTGGCTCTGGTACACTCACATAACGTGCGTTTTCCCGCTCCGGAGAGCCCTTGTTCTGTGGCTGGAGGAGCAGGGGCACGGCCTTGGGCTCCAGCCCCACGATGGCCTGCGGCCCATGCTCCTGGGTATCAAAGTGCACCTTTTTGACCTGGGCAGGGGCAGGAAACGGTGGCCATCACTTCCTGGCCCCATCACTCCACACCAGAGACCTCTTCTCCTGTGCCACTCACCCCTTTGTCCTGGGTCCCCTGACTCCTTCACCTCTACGTCACCCCTCATCTCCCGTCCCACCCCTCCCCTGCTCCTATCACCCCCAAAGGTGAAAGGGAGGCTCAGGGCTGGGCACAGCTCACAGGTAGAGCACTGCCCACCATGTGGGCCCTGGACACTGTCTCCAGTAGCAAAAGACAGAAAGAAAAGAGATGCCAGAACTGACTGGCTGGGGGATGAGCGGGCATCCTTTCTGGTGGCCTCGGCGGTGACAAGAGGATGGCAGTAGTGACGGCAGAAACAAGGGCAGCGACGACAATGGCAGTGGCGGTGGCCAGGGCTGACGGGTGTGGACAGAGCTGGGCGGGGTGGACAGGGCCGGGAGGGAAGGGAGAGGGAGGCGATGGCCACGAGGGGTCGGGGCCGGGGCCGGGGGCAGGCCCGTGCTGACCTCCTTGGTGAAGGGCCCCACGCCTGGCTTCTCCTGGCTGTAGCCAGAGCCTGTCTGGTACACGTTCCAGGGCAGGGCACTGCGGCTGTCGGGCCCCTCCAAGGGGCCGTAGCTCTTGCTGGTCACTGACTGGAAGGTATCCCGCACTTGTTCACTGGGGGGCATGAACAGGAGCTAGGGCCAGCACCTCCGTCCTTTGGGGTGGTATGGCTTCCCCAGCCCCTCCCACACCCAGGAGCCCCAGTCAGCAGAGCCTGAGCTGGTCCAGTGCTCTCCAGTTCCCCGGGGTGAGGGTGCAGTGGTCAGGGTCACACAGACTATACCCCATGGCTGGGTTGTCCAGGGCATCCAGGCTGGGCCGGTATGAGACTAAGGGCCGTAGGTTGGACTTATAGCCGGTGCCCACGTGGCTGCCCACACGGGGCCTGAACTCCTCTCGGCCTGCCAGGGGACAGGAGACGCCAGGCCAGCGTCAGTGAGGGGAGCAGGCTCCAGGCAGGGCCACTGCCTGGGCCTGGCTGTCAGAGCCAGTGTGACAGAACTGAGGCTGGGATGGACCCACGGGCTGGGACAAGGTCTCGGGCAGAATCACAGGACAGCAGGGATGGGGATGGCTGGATGGGACCTGCAGGCAGGGCAGACCCAGGAGGGACAGCAGCTGGGCAGCTCAGCATAGAGCTCCGCTGGGCCCTCACCATAGGCTGTGCAGTAGCTGGTGGCGTAGAAATTCAGGGGGTCCGTGCAGCCCCCCGAACTCATCTTCACGTACGGGGAGATCACCCCAAGGGGGAGCTTCCCCGTCATGGTGCAGGGCAGCAGGCCGGGGCTGCGGAGGGGCACGGCCGTGTCAGAGCCTCTGATAGCCCTGCTCCCTCCCCGTCTATCCCCAGGCCCGCGGCTGCTCCACTGGCACAGAGCTGGGGTCTCTCGCATCTTCCCACGCCTCCTTAATTCTTCAAACCCCATTTGTGTGGGGAAACAGGTCCAAGTGACGAGGACTTGCTTATAGTGCTGGTGCCAGATCGGGCCCCAGGGAATAAACGCATGGCCTGGGCACTCTGGGCCCTCCTGCTCTGCCTCCTGCCCCTCCTCTGCCCCGCTCCCCTCACCTGCCCTCTCTGAGGTCCACGGAGGCCACTCCCAGCAGACACTGCTGGGAGAAGCAGACCTGGCCTGCCCTGAGGTGGCCACGCCAGAGTAACAGAGCGTTGCCTAGCAACGGACACCTAGCAACCGCTGCTCCACACCTCAGAAACCCTGCTGGGGCCAGGGCCATAGAGGAGCTGATGCGGCCAGGAGGACAGTCACTGTCTGAGCGACAGGAAGTAAAAGATAACACCCTAAATCGCTGCGTTTATTGAGGGTCCACTTCTCACCGGACACTCACATCCTCCCCCTCTGCCAGGCAGCTACTATTACCCGTTTCCACAGGGACAGAGGCTCGGCTGGCCCACAGCCCAGGAGGGCGACACGGGGCCCTGGCCTCCACTGCTACCTCTCTGGGGACTCGTGGGTGCCCAGTTCTGCCGGGGCCGTCAGCACAGAGCCCCCGCACACACGCCCTGGTGCCACCCCAACACCGCCCTGCACCTCAGGACACTTGTTACACAGCCACCAAGACACAGGGCTCAGCAAGGGCGTGTCCAAACCCACCTGCCAAGCTTCGAAGGCGCTGACGACCCTCTCCACGCCTCCACATCCGTCACTACCGCAGCAGCCGCCTCCCCGCTGCTGGCAGATGTGACGTGTGAATCTGCACCTGGAGAGGTGAACGGAGGTGAGGACGGCTGCAGCCAAGGCCATAACGCAGAGGAGGCGCTAAGCCTGCTCCACGTGGCACAGGGGATGAGGACAGGGTCAGCTGCCAGACTGGAGTGACCAGTCAGGGGAGAGCTGTGGGACCAGGAGGCACGTCATGCCCCGGTGAGGGCCCATCCAGGGCTCAGGGCCACGGGGACAGAGGAGTGCACGCAGCAGCCTGCTCATCTCGGTGCAGTAAGGACGTGGCGTGGGGTGTGTACAGAGAGAAGGGGCCGGCAGTGTCTGTCTCCCTGTGGCCAGAGCCGACCCCGAGGCCACGTGGGGCAGCCCTGGCTCTGCCCTAAACATCTCTGTGACTTAGCGCATGTTACTTGTGCCTTGGTTCCCCTCCTGGAGGACAGGGTGACAACGGTGCCCACAAAGCTCCAGTCTAGCCCCCGTCGTGGGGTTAAGTGTTGTCCAGACCAGGGAGGGCTCTGGCCACAGGCACCGTGGTGAGCTTGCTGCCTGCCAGGCACTGGGATCCCCATGGGCCTGGCCTGAGGGAGCCCAGTACAGACACAGCGGCATGGCAGGTGATGGGCTGGACTTGGTGCCCAAGCCGGCCACCTGCTCCTGCCGTGGGGCTCAGGTCACCACCTGGAAGCTGCTGTGCACGGTGTGGGAATACCAGGCTGGCCTGGCAGGGTCTCTACTCAGGTCTGCAACACAGGCCTGCCAAGGGCCAGCTGCAGGGTGCACCAGGCGGGAGGCCGAGAGGAAGGGTTCCAGTTGTCCCTTCGCAACTGGGCCTGCAAGCTGGCGAAGAATGTGGTTCTTGGCGGTGTGGTGCCACCCAGTGGCATGGCATGCAATGGCAGTGCTGCTGTCGCTGCACTCCTAACAGGCTGGGGGCTCCCCAAGCATATCCAGGACAGGTAGCCTGGATCCCCCAGCTGTGAGCACCTCAGACCCCCCACATCCTTCTCCCGCTGTCCAGAATGGGGGTCAGGCCCGGCGCCATGGGAGCAGAGCCTGGTTGCCTCCATGCAGGCGTCACTCAGGCGCCCTTCCCCACTCATCATGCGTCGCCATGTGCTCTGAAAGTGTGTGCGGGGCGGGCCCTGTGCTCAGCACTGTGGAATTGGTGTGTCCTTGCCCCCTGCCCCTACCCTGACCTTGCCACCCCCAGCGCCTGGCACGCCAGGATCCACCCCTCCTCACCGCCCTCCCTGGTAGGTCTGAATCTAAGGCGAGCATTGGGCACCTAAGGCAGAGCTTGGAACTAAGACTCCTGTGTGCAGTGCCCCCCTGTGTAAAGTGCCCCTTTGTGCCCAGTGCTGGCCACAGCCACTGTGTGCCCAGCTCTCAAGGTGGGGACGGCTGCTACTGTGGTCACCTTACCTGGAGGAAGCTGCCCAAGCTCCACAGGCAGGAGGGTGGAGCAGAACCCACACCCAGCTCAGACCTAAGTCCTGGCGCCACCTTTGCAGGGCAAGTCTCTCTGTGGTGCCAGGACTGTGGCGGAACTCTAACACCCAGGGTTCCCAGTGCCCCAGGCAGAAGGTGCCCCCTTCTCATCCTAGACCTGTCCAACCCGGTGATGGTCACTCCCACAGAGCCACAGACGTGCTGCTTGGAGAGGCTGGGACAAGCCTGGGACTCGGCGAGAGGCCCTCTCCGGGATCAGACCTGGGGCCGACGGCCACGGTGCCCCTTATGCTAGGGAGTCCCAAGCAGCAGCTGACCTGCACTCTGGCTGCACAGCTGCAGCCCCCAAGGAGGACAGACAAGAGCACATGACAGCGCTGGCTACAGCAGCAGAGCCCAGCTCCATCAGGAAGAGACAGATCAACTCCCTCAATTGGACACAGCAAAGTGTCCCGACTCATCAGCCACCTAACAGGGGAGAACCGAGTTCCCTGTCTCCGGAGGCATCCAAGCAGCAGTTTCTGAGGACAAGGAAACACTGGGTTCGCTCAGGAGTCTTAAGAGCCAGGCTCTGCCTGAAGCTCCAGCACATCCAGTCTCACTGCGTTCATTCCTCCAGGGCACAGGGTCAGGCACTGTGTCAGCCTGGGCAGCCATGCCCCAGCCCCCTCTGCTGAGCCTGGCAGGCGGATCCAGAGGTGCTCCAAGATTGCGGGGACTGAACAGGCCACATAGCCTGGATGCCGCCCCTCTCAGCCTCTCCTGGAGCTTGGGTTTGAGGTCGGCTAACACTGAGAGTGGAGTGACCTTTCTCATTTAAGGGCCCCTGGTCCTGCTGCTTTTGAAGAGAGGGGCTGGGTTGGCACAGGAGGCTTGGTGTGTTGGCAGCATTTAGGGTGTGCCCTATGGCTCCCAGGCCCTGGACCCTCAAGTAGATCCTGAGATGACAGTTGGGGCCCTGTCCCCTTCCTGGACTGCCCATCTGTGAGGACAAGACATAGCCCGCCCTTCCAATCACCCGGGAAGACCCAGAGTGTGGAGGGGCAACCCTGGCGGGTTCCCCCTACAATGCAAGATGCACGGGGGACACAGTCCTCAGACAGATGCATCGGCCCCCTCGCTCTGCCCATAGGGACTGTGTCCACACCAGGCCCCCTGTGGCCCTTGGGGAAGGAATAGGGCGTCAAGGGCTGGAGCAGGGCTGCTCCACCCTGGCATAGGGCACAGGGAAGCTGCTGGGCTCTGCCTGGGCTGCCCCGGCACCTGGCAGCCTCAGCTGCTTCTAAGATGCATGGTTCCGTGCTTAAGGCCACGGGTCTTCCTCTGGGCCTCACAGAACTGCTCTGGGCTCCTGAGCCACAGCTGGCTGTTCCCTGGGTCCTGCTTCCTAGGAGTGATGGAAGCAGTGCTGCTGGGTTTGGGGTGGCGGGGGGCGGGGGGCACATTGCACCTGTACAGCAACACGTTTTTCCTGAAGATTCAGCTGTTTCCCAAAGTGTCACCTTATCATGGAGACAGAGGACTGATTTCTCACCGCGGTCTGACCCCACCTGACCAACACAGCCCCTTCCTAGTAGGAAGACAGCTGCCTTGTCCCATGCAGGAGGAAAGAAGACAACCAGAAAACATGGCCCGTATCAAAGGGACCTTGTAGCTGGGCACAGAGGTGCACACCTATCATCCCAGCCTGGGAGGCTGAGGCAGGAAGTTCGCCAGGTCAAGCCTAGCCTATACAACTTAGAGAAAGTAATTAATGAAAAGAGAGTAGAGATGTCGCTCACGGCAAAGACCCTGGGTTCCATCTTTAGTACTTCAAAAAACCAAGGAAGAAACCTTGTAGAACACTTTCCCGTGCCTTGTTGAGGCTCGTAAACAACCTCCACTAGAGATGGGTATCAATGGCCTTGTGCCGGGGCTGCCTCCAGAGAGCGCCTCTGCCTCCATTGCTGCCTTCGCTGGGCTCTGACCACACCAGGCACTGTGCGAGCAGGGGAGGCCGGACCCAGCGTATCTCTGCCCTGGCACTGGGACAGTCTCTGCTCACCCTGCACTTGAGCGGCTCCATTCTGGGATGATCCTGCAGAACGGACTGCCTTGGCACAGGGCCTGACGCAGGGAAGTGCTTCATACACAAATGTGCACACACCCACACACAGGTGACGCACGCACGCACACACACGTGCACGCCCATGTCAGGCCACAGAGCGAGACTGAAAGCAGGGCTGGGCTGGCTCCTAGTCCTCGCGCTCCCCCCACGGGCTGGATCGCGGGTCACGGGTCACAGGTCACAGGAGCAGAGCACACGGCCAGAAGAGCCTCATCCTGCAGATGTAGACTCCAAGGCCCAATGACGTGAGGACACCTGCAGACGGCCACATGTCAGAGCTGGCACCATTGGGTCCCATTGCTTGGCTATGAGTGTCCACAAAAGTGCATGAGTGTGGCACCAGGCCCAGGCCCATGCCACCCTGGTGGATGTCTATGTGTCACCCGAGGTCTGACTCCCATCTAGGTGCAGATGACCCTGTGCCTCCTGGCTCCCTCGGTGGACACCTGCCCAGCTCCGCCCAGCAAGGGGTGCGTGGCCGTGAGCAGCATCACTTCTAGGATGTGCACCGAACTGCACAATGCTGAGGGCTCTCGCGCCCCTTCTGCTCTCGTCAGAACTGCTACCCCAGGCAACGCCGACTCCTGTGAGGAAGCCCTCGCCTGGGGGACGCCCGGGAGCCTGGAAGGAGATGCCCACAGCTAAATGGAGTCCCAGGGTGCAGCCCTGGCCCGGAGGGACTGGTGTCCTTCTGCAGAAGGGGCCAGGCCTCCTCCCTCCTTGCATCCTAAGACACAGCAGGCAGGTGGGCAGGCTGGAGGGAGGGCAGCCACCTCCACCACAGGGAGGAGCTTGTGACAAACCCAGCACATCGGCTGCCCTCCGGACAGCACTTTTGCTTCTGGCCTGGGAGGAAGCCTTTCCATTTCAGCCCCCTGGGGGTGTCCCACATCCAGCCACTTCTGTGGTTGGAGGGGCCCCTCATGGCCTGGGGGCTCTCTGGGAAGAGAGCAGGGGCCTCTGCAGGCACAGCCCACGACCTGTGACAGCCCAGCGGCTGGCCAGAGAGAACAGCAGACGCACCGTGCCTGCAAGTAAGGGGCTGCGTGGAGCCACGCGGTCTGGCTGTGTGCAGCACAGCCAAGCCCATCCTGACTGATGGAGGCCGGGGTGGACTAATGCCAGGCAGCTGCCGAGTGCTGCGCTGCCCGCCCAGAGCACCTCGCTCTCAGGCTCCACTGCTGTTCCGGTCTGCACGCAGAAGGCCCCCAGGGAGCCCTGGTGAAGGCCCTGTCCCGGGTGCTGCGGGGTGGCGCCTGGGTGAGAGGTGGCCGGAGGACCTGGAGCACTAGCGGCTCAGCGGTGGCTCCATCTCTCCTGTTTCCTGGCCACAAGGGGGCAGCTGGCTCTGCCCTGCCTTCTCCCAGTGTCTTCTGCCCCTGTGCCGACCTGGTGCACAGCCTCGGAAACTGAGAGCCAAAATAAATCTTTTCGTGTCAATTGTCTCGTCATAGTGATGGAGAGGTAACAGAATCGTTCCATTTCAGAATTCTGTGCAAACCAGGCATAGTGTTGCACACCTGTCATCCCAGCACTCAGGAGGCTGAAGCAGATTACTGGAGTTCAAGGCCAGCCTGAACTGCATTCTGCCTCAGAAAAGAAAACAAAAAAAATTATTCAGTACAAATGTTTCAGCTTAAACTGGGTGCAGTGGCACATACTTGCAATTCCAGCACCCAGGAGGATGAACCAGGAGGACCACTCTTGAGTTTAAGGCCAGCCTGGGTTACACAGCGAGACCCTGCCTTGGGCTGGTCGTGTGGTCTGGTGGGAGCACCGCGATTGTGAAGCAGTAGCAAAGGGTGGGTTGGCAGGAAGCGGGCCATGTGGGCAGCACGTGTCCTCAAAGGAGTGCACTTCCTGCTGCCAGAGGGACACAAACAGCTCCTTTGAACGCTGTACATTTAATTACTGAGTCATAAAAACAGCGGCTGACCCAAGCAGCACACTAAGCCTTTCTCCTAGGAGACACATCCAGCAGAGGACTGGGGTGCTGTTTGGGCCAGCGCAGGCTTCGATACCACGTCTCAGCTGCCAGCCACAGCCACTTTGGCAGGCCGTCCAGCTTCCTTCCAGCAGCCCCCGGGGTTGCTGAGTGGCCATGGCATGCCCTGCACGCGGCAGCACTAGTTGTCGCCACTGTCTTGGGTGAGGACAGAGAGGTGCTGCGTGGTCCTGGCTCTCCAACACGGACCAGGACACAGCCCATATGAACCACCTAAGGCCGGACACACGACACTGAGAGGTCCCAGAGCTGTCGGGCAGGCCTGGCCACGGCTGGGGCAGAGCGTAGAGTAACCACTCCTGTGCAAGGATAGATGGGATGTGGTGTCCAGAGGAGGCCAATCCTGCACCTTTATTACAGTTCTGAGCATCACATTCTTGGCTTGGACCAAGCCGGCAGCCTCCTGCTGCCTCTGGGCTGAACCACGGATCTAATGCAGCTTCTCCCACCCTGTGTGGGCAGCTGAGCATAGGAGCAGGTGAAGGCGCAGCCTGCCTCCTGGGGGAGGGCACCTGCCGCTTGCACAGGGCGAGGAGGCCTTCACAGTGGGGCACAGTCTGGCCGTTCCCCCAGGCCCACCACTTCCCCAGGCCTGGGAGCTCAGCCACACGGAGGGAGCACTCGGTCAGGTGGGTCTGCAGTCCCTGGGGCTGTGACAACTCCTGCCAAGGCCCAGCCCGTCCTCCAGGGAGCCACAGTGGGCCATGTGTGCACTCTCGCAGCAGCCCCCGGTGGCCCAGGCAGGATCTGGGGAGAGAAAGCCTGGGTGGGAGAGCTGGGATGGGGCTCAGCTTCAAGACGACCTCAGACGCCCCCAACTGCCTCCAGACTCAGCTCCTCCACTCCTGCCTGTGACTGTGCACAAGCACCCCACTTGCTCCTGCTGTGTCATATCATGGGACAGGCTAAAGACAGAATCTACTACGGCTCCTGGCAGTGCCAGGTCTGGGGAGCGGGCACGCCAGCTGCCCTTAAGGCAAGGATTACCAGGGACGGCCCCTGCTGGACTGGGGACTGCTGCCTTTTCCGCTGGGCGCTCCTTGCGACTCCCGGGGCTGGGAGGGCGCTGGCCCTGCTCCTTTCTGGTGTCCTAGGCGGCTTCCCTGGGGCTGCAGGAGGGTGGGCGGGATTCATGCAGCAGGGGGATACGGATCACAAGTGGCTGTACGAGGCACGCCCCTCTGCCATCCCGGGCAGAAGGAGCTCTGTCAGTGCGCCTGCGCGGAACATGGCTGACCCACTCTTAAGTGCGAGGATCTCCATCAGTGCAGCGCTGCCTCCCACATGGCTTACCTTTACAGACATGCACCTGGGGACCGTGCACCCCGGCTGAAGCCAGGCACTGACCCACAGGTAGTCCATGGCCAGAACCGGGTGTCACTCCATGGTCCCCAGAACAATCTGCTGAGGCCCAGGCCCCAGCTTCTAAGACTTGGAAGGAAACACTGGGGAGGGGCAGCCTCTCTTGACCCAGCCTGGCATCCCCTGTGGGACATGAGGCCACTCAGACTGGCAGGGCAGGGCAGGGCAGAGGCAGGCGTGGGCCCCAATAAGGTCAGCGTGGACTGTCAGGCTGAGCAATGAGTCCTGCTCCATCCTTGCACACCCTTGAGGACTGTGGCCCTCGCTGTGTTTATGAATTCTGCAGAAATGAACAGTGGCTGGCCTACTTTTACTTAATGTCTAATAAAGGGAAAAACTTTGCATAGCACCCCTGGGCCTGACACTTGAGCAGCTTCAGTTAGTAAGATCCCTCACTTTCAGAAATGATACAAGCCAGCAGTTTGAGAGGCAAACAACTCCTTCAAGAGCCGGTGCCAGGTGCCCACATGGTGGCAGGGCGTTATGCTAAACGAGGCAAAGTCCGGGCAAGGAGGGATCAACGCCAATGGGAGCCCACACTGTGCACTCAGCTTCTGGGGTCCACTGTGTACGTGCTTGGGATGGTAAGTTGCTGCCAGTTGTGTGCACGTCTGTAGCCAGATCCACTGCCACGTACCAACCACACCACCTAACACTCCCCGAGGACTGCACCGGAGTCCCAGGCCCAGAGTCTCCTGCAGCTCCCGCCTGTGCCTGGCTCCCTCCTGCACCTTGCTTGGGTGAGAGTAAGAGACTCTTCCATCAGATGGTCACCAGGATGTGTGTGCTTCCCAGGTGTCACCTGCCACCTGGTTAGTGTAACAGGCTCTGCTTTCTGCCTACAGGTAAGCCCACCCCGCACACAGCCACGGTGGCCTCGCTGCCAGTGTTCAGGCAATCCTGTCAGGCATAGGTTCCAGGCCCCGGACCCAGGCCAGGACCACGGTCAGGTAACCCACATGCACAGCCACTTGCTGGGGTCACCCGAGAGCCTTGTAGTATCATCCTGCTATCTGCACCCATCTTCTCCCAGCTGGAGACGGAGGTTAGAGAAAACCGAGTCCAGGCCAGTCAACTCACCCTGCTTGCTGCCAGTGCACCGCACTGCCTCTTCACTTCCAGAGCAATGCTGGCTCATGAGCGGACTCGGCGGCCCTGGGACAGAGGCCACGTCTCAGAGACGGTGACTCCGCCCCCACTCCTCCAAGCACAAGGGCCTGCCAGGTCTCCAACAGAAGTGGTAAGCTCCGGGGGAGTCGGAGCTGCACTCACTTCGGGGCTTTGGACCTTGGACAGGTTTAATGTCGTAAGCTGGGAGAGTCGAGGCTTGCAGGAGACAAGCAGAGGCCGGTGCTGTGCTCCCGTCCCTCCTTAGCAAGAGACTCAGAAGCTAACAGTGCAACTCAAGTCCACACTCGCTCCTTGGTTCTCCCGCCGGGATGCTCCCAGCCACTGAGCAACCAGCAATCCTCCTGCGGTCAGGGGAAAGCCGCCTCGGGAGAGCACGGCCAGCGGAGCGAGGCGCTGAACACTGGCTCACCTCAAGCTAACGCACCGCCTGTCAGACATCCCTATTTGCCAACCACAGCCACCATGAAGACGAGATGGGGATGTGTGCTGTGGTGCAACTTGGGAGGAAAGACTACGCTGTGGCGATGCCAACCTCCACGAACACCAAGGCCACAGGGGATACGAGAACAGACCAAAAAAAAATCACTGTAAGGGTCAGGACACTGCCAACTTCCTGATCCTTTACTTCAGCTCTCCTTCATTTACAGAGTGCACGTGATTAAATGAAGTGCGACATGGGTACGACTTGTAAGCCGCACACCTATACGGCCCTGCTCTGCAGGCCTTGTCTCTGACTGGGCAGGCCTGGGGGGCGCCCAGGTCAGCTTCGTTGGCTGGTAAGGACGCAGCAGGTTGGAAGGGGGTTCATTTTAACAAACCCAGAGGAAGGGTGCAGGTGGGCAGGGCTCCTCCCACAGCAGGGCAGACAAGCCTATCCCCTACCCGGGCATGAATGGATGGAGCCACAGTGCCCTCTTGTGGCAGGCCTGTGCCAAGGCAGCCAGACGAAGCACTTGCTGTGCCACCTGGGAGCACAGAGACATCGGTATCTGTCCTGAGAGCTGGGGCCCCTCTCGTCCCCCACCTGAGGAGCAGAGTGCCTGAGGAGAAGCAGGAAGCTGGGCCGGGTCACGAGTGGTGCCTGTCCCCAGCTGAGCCCTGTGCCAGCAGCAGCGCCCAGATCAGCGCTGCTCTTCGAAGAGGTACTCCAGGTCCGGGGCGCGCAGCCGCTGTTCCCTGTTTTTGTTCTTGGCGAAGTCCCTCAGCAGGGCCATGACTTCATTTTCAAATATCTCTGGGGCTGGCTTGGCTTCTGCAAGAGAAGAGCGAACAGAAGGTCACACGTCATCAGGCAGGGCAGTGTGGGAACCGGGCACCTGCACACCGGCCTTGCTGAGAGCCGCAGGTGGCAACGACGGCTGCCCCCGCCCGCCACCAGACTGTGGGACCAGGGCTGGGCCAGCCTGCCCATCTGCAAACAGCGAACAAGGCTCCTGGTACAGCTGCTGCCAGCGGTTCCAACAGCCCAGGACCACAGCCATGTGAGACGCAGGGCCGAGAGCCACAGAGACACAGATCGTGGGGCTGCAAGAGGAGAGGCCTTAACTCTGCGCCTGGAGGCAACGCTGCGGACCCAGGCCCGCCCCATCCTGGCTGGGCAATGGTACCCTGCGCTGGACTCCACGGTTCTCTCCATATCTGTGGTCTCTGTCCCCTGCAGTCAACCTTGGCCTGAAAATATTACATGGAAAATTCAGGAGATAAACAGGGTTATACCCCAGGCTGTTCTGATGCAATCTCATGGCCTGTTCTGTCCTGGTTATGAATCACCCTCTGTCCAGGGGACCACACTATGTCTGCACCTGCCCCTTGGTCACTTAGGAGCCACCTCCCTCCTCAGACTGACTGGCGCTCTCAGGGCTTGTGTTCTGGTAATTAGAACTTGTGTTCTAATTTACTTCATAATGTCCCAGGGCATAAAGGTCAAGAAAGAGGCCAAGGAGCAGAAGGGCACAAACACGGTACTGTGCAGCAGAGCTGCTGGACACTGGGAAAACAGAACGGGCAGCGCTCGTATCATCCCTGTTCAGGCTTCCATGGGGCCTTGGGGTGCACTGTGGTTCCCTTCTGGTCTACAAGTGTCCTCACACGAGAGCCCTACTTTCCCTAGCAGTCAGAGGCCCTGGGTGTCAGTGACGGAAACAAAGAGCTAGTAAACATAAGCAGGAAGGGCTTTACCAGAAGGACACTGGCAGCCCCCAGGGCCAGCGCGAGCCTGGAGAGCCTGGCATAGACACAGGCACTAAAGGCACCAGCAGCGGAGACCAGAGCAGCAGCCTCGGGCTCAGGGCAGGCGCTGGGATGCCACACCAAGCTCTCAGGGTCTCAGCCCAAACTTCTGATGAAGCGGGCAGCACGAAGGCCCTGGGAGCGGCAGACCCGGAGCAGGGACAGCAGGAGGGAGCAGGACGGTCTCAGGCCACCGGGCCAGAGCAAGAGTCCTGTCCCTCAAGGTGCACAGGGGAGCCCTGTGGCCAGAGGAGGGTAGGGAAAGCACCTTCTCCTACCCCTGGGAGCCGGCCACCGGGCAAGCTCAGCTCGAGGCTGGGGCCACAGGGCCTGCGAGGGAGGCGGCAGAGTCAGGGAGCGCCTCTGGAGGCAGACAGCCAGGGCAGAAAGCTCCGATGCAGGAAGGCGAGGGGTGCGGGAGACCAGGAGCACCCAGAATCACCCTCAGGCCACAGCCTCTATCTAGAGTGGGCAGGAGCAGCTGGGAACATCCTGAAGGTAACCAAGGCGAAAACAAAATCTAAACCGAGCTCAACCACTCATTCCACCCAATGGATGCCCAGAGCAACAGCCCAGGGCAGTGGCGGTGAACCTTTGGCACATGTGCCACAGCCAGCTATTCGTCATCATTGAAAGCTCCAGAAGGTTCGCCACCACTGGCCTTAGGAGACGTGCCCACCTCAGTGTACCAACACTCCAGTCCCCAGCGTTTACCCCTTAGCAGACAACGATGCCATGTACACGAAGGAAGGCAAAGGAGAATGTTAGGGAGACAGCAAGAGCAGCGGAGTCAGGGGTGATTCCTGTGAGAGCTACCAGGCGGGGCTGAGGGTCACCGGGACCCCCACTATAGCGCAAACGGAGAGGAAACGGGACTGTGAGCAGGTGAGGAATCCCAGCAGGGGGCTAGAAGTGCAGGAAGCCGAACAGACCTGTGAAAAATGAAAGCACATCAGTGGAAACGCAGGACAGCTTCAACGGGCTCACACGGGGTCTGTCGTAAGCAACGGTGGAGTCTGGGAAGATGGGGCAAGAGGAGCCACCCAGTGCAGGCTGCCAAACGCCCTGCAATGGCCAACTACGCTAAGTGCACTTGGAATTCCAGAAGGAACCTCGCCAACAAGGCCGAAGGGACAAGGCTGAGAATGCGCCCGACACACAAAGCTGGAGGCACTGGCCCCGCAGGCACTGAGCATGCTCAAAAGGCTTGGCCTGCAGCAGTCTGGGGCTCCTGGAGGGGAGGCCTAAGGGGCTGGAGTTGTCCGAGGTGTCTACGAAGGGGAGGGCGAGGCACCAACCACTGCATGCTGCCCACACAGGCTCGGGCAATGGGGCCACCTAGTCACGGACTGGGACCTCTGGAACTGTAAGACAAACAGGCCCTTTCTAAATCAGCTGACTCGTATCTGCAGCCCTAGCTACTCACGAGGCTGAGGCTGGAGGATCATTTTAGCACAGCAACTCAGGGCCAGCCTGGGCAACACGGCAAGGGCCTGTCTTATAAACTTTAAAAAAAAGCTTTTTTCTCTTTAGAGGCCAATTATCTCTGCTGTCCGTCACAGTAACAGAGCACTACCAGTGCTGAAAGAACACTGGAAAAACTGGTACAGAAGAGACACTGTGTCCGCAGGAGCAGGGGCCGCAGCCTTCTCCTCAGACACCCACAGGGAGAGACAGCCATGGCAGCCAGCTCAGAGGGCTCTGGTGCTGGCAGTGCCAAGCATGGAGACCTCGAGCGCACCAGTTCAGTCACCACTGAGCCCAGGATGCAGAGGCCGCCAGCGACGGAGAAGGCAGGACACAACAGCAAGGGAGGCGCTCACCAGCACTTCCCAACCCTGGGAGCAAGGAGGAGCAGCGATCCCAGGCCACGCCACAGACCCAGATCCTCCCCAGGAGCCCACATGGGCAGCATGCGGGAAAGCAGAGGACCACACAGACAATGGGCAGGCGGGAAACCAGAGGAACATGGCAGATGCCCAGAAATGTTACCACAAGCAGGACAGACCCAAGCTCACCTGCACCTACACCTACATGCACGCATGCCACAAGGGCCTTATCAAGACACCCACATCTCAGGGTCTAAAACCAACCCCAGCAAATCCCAGGAAATTCCCTAGTATGTGAACCTAAGCCACATACTTCTAAACAATGCATAGGCCACAGAGAAAGTGAAAAGGAAAATTAGGAAACACTTTGATTTGAAGGAAACAAGAATGTAATGCCCTGAGGTGGGTGTGGCGGCACACACCTGTAATCCCAGCACTCGGGAGGCTGAGGCAGGAGGATCTTTGCAAGTTCGAGACCAGCCTGGGCTACAAAGTGAGCTCAAGGCCCACCTGAACTGCATAGCGAGACCCTGTCTCAAGAAGACCACCCCCAAAATAAAAAAAAGAATGTAATGCACCAAAATTTCTTTTTTTTTTGGCTGGTCTTGAACTCGCAAAGATCCTCCTGTCTCAGCCTCCCAAGCGCTGGGATTACAGGCATGCACCACCACACCCACCTCCACCAAAATTTCTAAAGTGAAGTTAGTGGTGCTTCAAGGGAAACATATGACATTAAATACTTAACATGGAAAAAGTGGTCACCAAGGAACTAAATTCTACCTTAAGAAACTAGGAAATGCAAAACAAAGCCAGTGGAAGAAAGGAAATAATGAAGAGTAGAAATCCATGACTTGAAAACAGAAAAACAGAGAACAATGAAATAAAAAAACTGGCTCACTGAAAAGGTAAATAAGCAACTTCTGATCAGACTGCTCAAGGAAAAAGGGAAAAACCCCAAGTTACCAGTAACTGAAATACAAGGGTATCCTTCTGGCTTCTCAGTATTAAAAGAAAAATGACAAACACTATGAGCCTGGCGGGGACAGCCGGCATGGGCCATCTGCTAGCCCCATGTGCGTGAGCCGAGGTGGTCACCTACACTGACCAGCTATGGAGTTACAGGAACTTCACGGCCCGAGGTGTCAATGGAGACTGCTGGCTGGCAGGATGTCTCTCCTTAACTGTTTCACTGCCTGGGAACAGTCTCACGCCCTTCCCCTGGTTCCTCTCCAACCTTCCATTTGATCTGTAAGCTTTCCCTACCCTTCTGCTGAAATCCCCTTTTGCTTAAGTTAAGCAAAGTCAGTTTCTATTCTTTTTTGTCTTTTTGAGACAGGGTCTTACTATGCAGTTCAGGATGGCCTTGAGCTCACTCTGTGGCCCATGCTGGTCTCAACTCACAAAGATCCACCTACCTCAGCGTCCCCAGTGCTGGAATTACAGGCATGAGCCACTATGCCTGTCAGTTTCCATTCTGTCTCATAAACAAAAAACCTTAACCTCAACCTTAAAGAACCTTAATGTGTAAACAAATTTTACACATTTTGGTGTCATTCGAACAGTGTTAGGGTTGAGTGTCTATGACATGAATAAAAGAACAAAACTGCCTACACTTTCATTTCAGATGCAGCTTGTGACCCTATTTTTGCAGTATGTTGCTTTTTGTGGCCGGTACCTGTGGCCCAGTAGTAAATATCCCAGTCATTACTGGGCTCGTTAATCAGGCGATCATACAGGTTCAGCTGCTTCTCCGTCATGTGGTGCAGATGTTCTTTAGCAAAGAGGCTAAAAACAAGAAGAGAAAGAGGTTGAAAAGCCCGTCCCCAGGGTCACAGGCAGTAACACAGCACTCCTCTCCGCACACCTGAGGAGGATGCAGTTCTCCAACATCCCCCTCTTCCTGCTCTCATACAGGAGGCGCGCTCGCTTGGTTTCTATGGATTCATCCGTCCTCTCCTGCCATGGAGGCAAAGGGATTTCAAGCACATCTTTGTGGGAATCTGTTGGACTGTCACCTCTGTAGAAGCATCTGAAGGATGTCACACTGCTTAGAGGAGACAGGAGACTGTGCCTTGACAGCACCTGAAACAAACAAGCCACAGACATCTTTAGTCACAATGGCTACCACCACCAGGGTCATTCACTGAACACTAAAGAGGCACTGACTCTACCGGACCTTATTCCGTTTTAGGAGCTTACACTGACACAGTTCACTTTCAGCCCAGGAATCCAGGAACCCAAGGCTCAGAAAGGACAAAGAGTCAAACAGAACTGCAAAATGCATTCTCACCCAGTCTCTCCAGGACTTGTCCCAGCAGCACTATCTTCTTTCTCTACTTTTCTGGCTAAGTCTTACAGCGTGGTTTTTACTCCAGTCACTGTTTGTGTTAGACCACAAGGGTTCTGAGGGCATGGTCCCTCCTCTCTCAATCTAGAAGGGCCTGGACTATCAAGATCTGATGGGAAGGGGGGACGGCAGCACAGGAGCAGAGTGGGAGCCCCAGAGCCTCCATCCCCCAGAGGAGACGCAAACTCCACAATGACGGGAAGATCAACTCCGACGTGATGACTGCTGCACACACACTGAGTATGAGCCAGTGCACTGAGCTGGAGGGTCTGTGGCCACCCCACCCACGCCAGCCTAACGTGGTAGGGAGGCCCCAGCTTCTGGTTTCTGCATGGGCTGGGGGTTGCCTGAGGGCTGGTGTCTAGGCTGCCTAAGTGCTACTGGAAAGGTCATCTGCCTGGGGGCCTGATGATAAGGATAACAGGCACTCACTTGCCCCTGGCTTAGTGTTTCTGTCCCTTCCATCTTAAGAGCGCTGACAGTCTACCCTCTAGGCCCAGGGGCCACTGAAAACAACAGACAACCAGACAGCTTGCTGCTGAGCCCGGGGACCCCTAACTGCAGAGAGAGGGCAGCACAGCTGGCAGGAGGAGGACTCAGTGCGCATACAGCACTCGCTCTGTAGCGGGTGCCTGAGCTCTGGCTGACCTGGCATTCTCTAGCATTCGAGGGGCCAGAGAGGAAGGGCTGAGCCACCTGCTCCAAAGAAACTCCATCTCACACAGAGATGCCAGAGGGAGCAAGAGACACAAGCTCTGGAATAAGACACCCTCCAATGAGGGGTTGAAGGGAGGGTGGGGGAATCGGGGAAATAAAGAAAAAAACCCAAGTTATATCATGTACGGGCACAAATTCTCTATGATGAACATGATCGTTATGTAGATCTAGAATGTACCAACAGTATTTAATTGAAAAACAAGAAGCCCCCCGACCCATCTAATTGGAAATGGACAGCCATGGAGTCAAGAGAGTGCACCTCCACTGGAAAGGTGGAGCTCTAGGCCCCTGGCCAGCTGAGTGGCACAGGTTTGTCCTTGCGTGCAAAGCTGGGCCAGAGGGGCTCTTTCATATGCAGATTTCATTTTTTGTTTTATTTTGTTGTTTTTTGAGACAGGGTCTCACTATATTGCCCAGGCTGGCCTTGAACTCAGGGCGATCCTCCTGCCTCTGCTTCCTGAGTGCTAGGATTATTAACGTGTGCCACCATACCAGGCCATATGCAGAGATTTCAATACAAACTTGGAATACAAACTTGTACACAAATACCCAGGAAAACATGGCCAAGCAAAGGACCCAAATGAACCCCTAGTAACCAACACAGTACCACCTAATGAAAAATGTAAAATAACAGTGGACCCTTGACTTATAAACTCAGTATAATCATGAGGGTTGGTTGTAACTCAAGTTAGTTGTAAGTCAAGACTGTTTTTCCCATATGAAATACCCATAATGCGTCCCAAACCTCCCAAAGCACCCCTTAACTACCTTTCCTTAATAAAACAAGGGTTGTATAATGTGCATAACTTACCCGAAACACCAATAATTTTCCTAGCGTATTCACCAAAAAGTTATAAAATGTGCCTAATTACCAGAAACAGCACCTTCACTGTACTCCCCATTCAAGCTGACATCTCTGGCTCGCAAGAAGGAGGAGGAAATAGAAGGTGGTTATGGTGTGGAAGGAGAGTCCCTTCCACAAGAACATCAGGAACCTGGCTGTGTCCTTTTTTCCTTGTGAGTCTGTAGCCCTTTAGGACCTGCCCCTGGCTCACTAGGTCTCAACCTTTTCAGAAATCCAGCCTAAGGTTGTCTGTTTCTGTCTTGTCTTTAATACTGTTCTGTAGTGTGACATGACCTCATTAAGCAAGCGAATGGAATGATTAGCTTTTTCTCTGTATGGGTGGATCTTTTCTACAAATGTTTGTAGCTCTGTGCATTTCTTCAGGATTTCCTTTATTTCCGAAGAACTTCGCTGCACTGATTGCTGATACTCCCCCTCCTCTTCAGAAAGCCCCTCAGCTGCCATTCTCTGTTGCTCATCCAGAAGTCAATGAAGTTCCTCTGTAGACAGCTCCTCTGAGTGCTCCTCCACCAGTTCCTCAACATCCACTGTGTATCTCCAAGCCTATGGACTCTGTTATAGTCATATCATCAACCACACGGTCAACTGAAGACTCAAGCTCCTCTACATAGCCTTCAAAGTCTCTCTCCTGCATAATTTTAGGCCACACTTTCTTCCAGGCAGATCTCAGTGTCCTTAGAGAGACATTGGCCCAGGATTTCTTAATTAACCACACAGAGAAAAGGATGCTGTAATATTTCTTCCAGAACTCTTTAAGGGTTATATCTGTATCTGAGACCACCTGGAAGCACTTCAGGAACAGTTCCTTGGTGTACAGCTTCTTGAAGTTAGCTATAGCCTGCTGGGCTATAGTAGAAGAGCTGTTATTAGGTGGGAGGAACTCCACTGCAAGCCATGGGAATTCTTCAGCCAATTCTTCTTTCAAATTTTGTGGGTGAACAGGAGCATTGTCCATGACGAGGAGAACCTTGAGTGAAATATCTTCGTCCTCTAGATATTTCTTAGTAGTACGGTTGAAAACCTCCCTGATCCACTCAAGCAAAAGGACTCTTGTTACCTAGGCTTTTGCGTTAGCTCTCCACATGACCCCTAGCCTATTCTTCATGACTTTGTTTTATCAGTGCTCCAGGGATCTCAGAGTGCTAAGCCAAGAGAGGCTTTATCTTGGGGTTACTGCTCGCATTGGCACATACCAGTAAGGTTAGCCTATAGGCTTGTGGCCTGGCATTTTCTTCTCTTCCTGAGGAATATACGTTCTCCTGGGAATTTTCTTCTAGAAAGGGCCAGTTTCATCACAGTTGAAAACTTGTTGAGAGCAAAAGCCATTTCTCTGTGTCATCATTTTTTTTTTTTTTGGTACCAGGAATTGAACTCAAGACCTTGTGTTTGCCAGGCAGGCACTTATGCCACTGAGCTATATCTCTGGCCTTCTCTGTGTCATCATTTTGAAGGGGCATATGTAATTTTCAGCAGCCCTTTTGTCAGCACTGGCTGCTTCACCATGCCTAGTTACGCTATGAACCCGTTTTCACTTTAAAATTGTGAAACCTTCCCTTACCGGCCTGAAATGTTTCACCATTATCACTCATTGATGGACTATCCTTTGTAAGATCTACATTTATAGCCCAAGCTTTTCACAAATTATAGTTTCAGATAGGCTGTAACCTGCCACCTGCCTTTTGTTTATCCACACTAGTAGGGTCTTTATACCTCATCTAACACTGTTGATTGTGACTTACACCTTTAGCAACCCAGCTTCCTTATGCAAACCTCTTCTCTGTAGGACTATCAAGATGGTGAATTTTGACATGCTGTAAGTATTAGCAAGATTGGTCACACGAACACCACTTTCATATTTCTCCACAATTTCCTTCTTTTCAACTGTGACTGCTTTCTTTACCATCCCTTCCTTCCTTTTGCTTCTTTTCTAGCTTTTGGGGGACCATTTTGATAGTGGTATTGTAGCCATTATATAAAGCACTGATTGAAATTACATCTACAGAAATACGCATCTTGGGGCTGGGGATTTAGCTCAGCGGCAAAAGCGCCTGCCTGGCAAGCGCAAGGTCGTGAGTTCGGTTCCCGGTACTGGAGAAAAACCAAAAAAAAAAAAAGAAATACACATCTGGGCTCAGGCTGAGGCTTATACACACTTTTCTGGCATGGTGAGTCTTTGTTTACAACTGCACAAGCAGCTGGCATTTGGGTTGTAACTCAAGACTTTCGGGTCACAAGTTAAACCTAAAATTTCAGTCATGCCCCAAGTTGTATACAATGTGGGTTGTAAGTCAGGGTCCACTGTAAACGCAAAGATGCTCAACAAGCTCTGGAAAATGATGCTTGAATAAAATGAGAATATCAATGAAGAGAAAAAATACACAAAAAAGTGAACAGAAATTTTGGAGCTGAAGAACACAGTAACTGAACCAAAAAATTCATTTGAGGGACTCAAGAGCTGATTTCATGAGGTACAAAAACAAACTCAAACACAGGCCACTTGAAAGTACCTGAGCAGAAGAGCAGGATTAAAAATAAAAGGGATTCACAGTACACATGAACCATTACGGGAGTCCCAGAGAGGACAGACAAAGGCAGAAATCTCAGTTAAGAAATAATGGCTGAAGGTCGTGAGTTCGGTTCCCAGTACCGCAGAAAAACCAAAAAAAAAAAAAAAGAAATAATGGCTGAAAACTTCCCAGACTGTGGGAGAGAGATGGACACCCACAGTCAAACCCAAGAAAGCTCAATGAGCATGAACTCAAGGAAGGCCACATCCACACATTCTAATTAAACTTCCAAGGTTCGGAAAGAGACACCAAGAATGTGACTACACAGGGGCCCTTGTAGGGGCTGGGGATTTAGCTCAGCAGCACAGCGCCTGCCTGGCAAGCGCGAGGTTGGGTTCAATTCCTGGTACCAGAAAAACAAAAAACAAAAAACAAAAAAAACAGGGGACCTTGTGCAGACACAACAAGGCAGCGGTGTACAAGCCAAGGAGAGAGCTCGAGCCTGGGGAGAAACCAAACCTCTGACATCTCCAGCCAGCTGCAGCCTCCAGAACCGTAAGGAACAAATTTCTGTTGTTTAAGTTATGCCATGGCATTCTGTATGGCAGCCCAAGCAAATGAGTGGAATGAAGTAACAATGAAACCAAAAGTTGGTTTCCTGAGACCCACCCTAAACATTCTGGTGCAGAACCTCTAGGATTGGCCCCTGGAAAACATTTTTAACAAGACCTCTAGAAGATTCTGTAACCCTGGAAAAAGAGCAGACCCTGGGTTCAATCCTCACTGCCAGCTGGGTGTGGTTGCACATGCTTGTGATCCCAGCACTTAGGAGGCTGAGGCAAGAGGAGCGCCATGAGTTCGAGGCCCACCTGGGCTACAGAGTGAGTTCAAGTCCAGTCTGAACTGCACAGTGAAACTGTCTCAGAAAAAAAAAGATCCCCCCCCCAAAAAAAAAGAAAAGAAAAATCACCAGTGCCAAAAATACCTACCTATCTACATACATAAATAGAAAGTAAAGACCTTCCCCCTATGGAAGCTAGAGCATTCATCCCCACTAGATGTGCCTCATGAGAAACATGAAACCCTTCAAGCAGAAAGGATAGGATGCTACACTGTCACAGAGCACATAATGGTATAAAGCTTGCTGGGAAAGCAAATATATAGACAACCATTAAATACTGTAATACTGCAGGTGGTATGTAACCCCCCATACTGGGGCTTGAACCCAAGGTCTTCACACTGACCTACATCCTCAGCCCTTTTATTTACTTATTTATTTTTTAATGTTTTAAGAGTCTTGCTAAGTTACTAAACTCTCAGGCTGTGCTCATAGCAATTCTCCTGCCTTAGCCTCCCAGAGTATGGAATTATGGGGATGCCTCACCATGCCTCGCTTTGGCTTTTTTTTTTTTTTTTTTTAAGTAGGTGGCAAACACCTATGATCTCAGCTAGTTTGAGTGTAGCCTTGGCAATTTAGCAAAACCCTGTCTCAAAATTTAAAAAATAATACAAATAAAAAAGGGCTGGAGACATAGCTCAGGGCTCCATGGGTTCAATCCTCAGTAGTGCAAAAAAGAAACAAAACAACAAAAAACCAAAACCAAACCAAAACAAAACAAAACCTTTGGGACATCAATAACACAAAAGGGAGAAAAAGAATGAGTTTTTATACATAGAATTGACAGCCTGAAATAAGCTGTTAGAAGATAATCCCATGCTAACCAAAAGAAATACCTGTAGAAAATGAGAAAAATGAATCAAACCATGTCACCAGAAAAAAAGGAATTACAGCAAATAGAAAAAGAAAAAAAAATGAACAAAATGACAATAGTAACTCCTTCCCCATCTGCAAATATAGGTGGGTTAAACCATCCAATCAAAAAACAGAATAAACGAATTTCATAAAGCAAAACAAAACAAAACCAAGCTCCAACTATCTGCAGTCTACATGACTCACTTTAAGGACAAACATAGGCTGAAAATGAAAGGACAGAAAATGATATTCCACATAAACCGTATCCAAAAGAGCAAAGGGATAGCAAACAAAATAGATTTTTAAATTTAATTTAATTCAAGATTATCACACGAGACAATTACATAACAGGATTAAATCACCAGAAACAGGGCTGGGGATTTAGCTCAGCGGCAAAAGCGCCTGCCTGGCAAGCGCAAGGTCGTGAGTTCGGTTCCCGGTACCGGAGAAAAACCAAAAAAATAAAAAAAATAAAATAAAATAAATAATAAATCACCAGAAACACATCACAATTATAAATACATATACACGTAACATTACAGCATCTAAATACATGAAGACCACATTCACCGAATGTAAGAATAGAAACAGCAACAGATAACTGTGGATTTCAACCGCCTCCCTCCAGTTTCAACAAAGGTTAGAACACCTGGCCGGCGGCCAACAAGGGAACAGGACGGGAACAACACTGCGGACCAAATGCGGCGAACAGAAAGACACAGAACGTTCCACCAATGTTACATTCTTCTCAGGTGCACACAGAACGTTCCGCTGTACAGATCACCAGTTCTATCTAATTTAAGCCGACAAATCGTACCAACTATCTTTTCCAACCACATTGGAATAAAGCTGGAAATCAACAGCAGGAAAAAAAACTGGCAAAGTCACACATTTGTGGAAATTAACAAGCTCTTGAACAACCCAAAAAGTCAAAAAAAGAGATCAAAAAAAAAAAAGAGATCAAAAGTTAATTTAAACACTATCTTGAGACAAACTAAAAGCCAATGTACAATAAATTATGAGACAACCAAAAAGGGACCAAGTGGGAAGTTTATAATGATAAACGACTACAACTTAAAAAGTATAAAGACGCAAAAACCCTATGAGACACCGCGACAGGCTCTGGAGCCCTAAGAGGAGGTGAAAGAGGGCATTCGGCCTGACTCCTGGTACCGCCCGGTGCCGACCACCCAGCCGGATGTCACCGAGCCGCTTCGACCTCGGGGCTGTTCTCGCCTTGGGAATGACCTTGCCCTGAAGTGAGGGCAGGCGAGGAACCTGACAGTGTCAGTGACCACGGAGGAAGACGGAACCCAGCCCCGGTGCTGCCCGCCGTAGGCCCCAGATTCTCCACCTCCTTACCCGCGGCAGCTTCTGCAGCACAGGGACCACCGCCATTTCTCCGCCGCACCGGAAGACCGGGCGCAGACCACTTCCGGTATTCCCGACGAGGCGGAGGCCCGAGCCGGAAGAAGCTTCTGTGCGTGCCTGCGTGCGGCGGAAGTGGCCGTGCGCGTGACGCCACTGGCAGGGGGCGGGGCCTGGGCGGAGAGCGGTTCGCGCGCTTCGGGCCTAGTCCGGACTCGCCGCCGCCGCCGCCATATTCCCGGTAACGGGGGCGCGCGGCCCGGGCCGGCGGGGCCGGAAGAAGGGTCGGGGTCGGCGCCGAGGCAGGGA